TCTCAGAAAGTTGTCTAAAGTCCATGGCATATTTCATGATTAAAGTTTTTGTCGTTTCAAGACTGAAGGAAGACATTCAGACCTTGAAGACCATCTGCTCTGAGAGCTTTTACAGGCCCCAGTTTTTAAGTGGCAACAGCTCTGTTTGATTCAACTCACTATGCAGCAGTCAACAGTGAAAAAGCAAAGGGCTAAACATTCGCATAAACATTGGTCTTTTTGAGGCACAGTCAAGTAAGGGTAACATGAAGCTGACATGCTGCTCTGTTGAAGCACTAGTAGGTGTATTTATGGATAAAAGGAAGCAGTGCCTCAGCTTTCAGATGCTCGGGAATTGATAGATATTTGCTATTTGTGAAGGACGGAAGGGGGAGTCTTCAGGTTTGGATCCATTCCGTGACATTATCCTCAAAACTCATATTGATGTCTCCCAAGATGAAACACTATAAAGTAGACAAGGAATATCAGGAGGAATATCATTTGACCCATCTACTCAGAGCAAAGGCAGTACATCTACAGATGTACATCTATACACATACAGAACAACACACATACAGAAAACCCCAAAACTCAATGCGAACACAGACTAAAAATCTGAACGAGACACATGTACAAAAATGGTTTTGTTCCATCAACCCATCCTGATGCCATCCAGTTTCATCAGCCCTGCTGTTTTACCCTGTGCTCTGATGATAGGGCTGTCGTACGCTGCAAGGATGTGGAACCCTTGATCTCCAGATCATCCATTCAGATGCACTTGAGGCCTGTAATGCTTAACTGCTTTTTCTGGGAGACGCTAGGGGCCCCATGTCCAGAACTGGTGGATCACATCCGCTATGCAAAACCAGAATCACATTTAATACTAGTAGAAAAACTACAATCAGAGACGAATGTTTAAATCCAAGTGCAAATGCAATCACATTTTCCTAAATAAAAAAGATGAAGCATTAGAAGGATAGCTTGAAGAATTTAATAATGCCACAGACCAGCCTGGCAGTTTCAAAAAAATTAAACTCACTTAAAACAAAAGGAAACAAGCAAACAAACGAACAAAAATCCAAACACACAAAAAAAACAAAAAAGAAGAATAATTAACCCTTTTTCAGTGTGACATAAACACTGACTGATGAAGGTGAGATAGGTATGGCAAAAAAGATGCATGTGCCTTGTATTAAAAAATTTAAGGGATAAATCTGAGTTAAAAAGAGATTGATGGATATTCAAGAAAAATGTAAGCTTTCAAAGAAAAATCTTTAACACATAAAACCTGCAGTTTTACACATTGACAAAGATTGTTTACGAGCAGAAGTCCAATGGTTTTGGCGAGGAGTCAGCAGAAATAAAATCTCAGAAATGTCAGGAAGGATTGATACCTCTGTCTTGGTTGGCAACATTCAGCTCTCACATCAGTAGGTGAAACAAAAATAATGTGAATAAATAAGACCCATTGTTTTTAGATGTCAAAGGTCACTACATTGAGTTAGATAAGACTACTGCAAACTAAGCGCACACCAAACCTATGTACTTTGAGGGTTATTATATATGAAAACATCTATATTACTTTGAAGAACTTAACAATGTTTTATAAGCTAAAAGGGCTGTTAGGAATCAGTAATTCTGATGCATGAATAAATAAGGGAATTAGATTTGTATTACTTTATTAACATAAAAAATAGTACTACTTTCAGATCGTTAATGTTAAAACACACTTTTTATATTAATCCAGAGAATATATATGTATATTTTTGTATTTTTGAGATTTCGATTATTTAGTTCCAATTAAATATCTGTTATCCGTAGATCATATACATGATACAGAATATCACTATTAGCTAGCAATAGGAACTGTTTTTTCAAATGAAGGTTTTAAATTGTTGAAACCTGAGGAGAAGATGTTCAATTCTTCTTTTGCTGCTTTCCAGTATTTTCAAAGATTCGTTCTTTTCCTTGGTATCTTCTTTAGGGCTTTAATTCTACAGGTAGGGATGAAATTTAGGGTATGTTTTATTTTCTCTCGGACAGTTTATGAATTTTACATTGAATAGCTACAGGTGAAATAGAAACATATTTGTCTCACGGAAACATGACATTGTAGAAGTTAATAATTACTTTGATCCTTTGCACAGATTCTCTATTATGTTGCATTAAATGAAACATGACCTTCAGGATTTTTTTCAGTTAAGGTACTGATTTCACGTGTGACTAAAGATTGGTTTAACTAAAGACTATTCCTCGTGTTTTTAAAATTGTTATCAAGAATCTAAAGATGTTGTGTCTTAAATAGAAACCACCTTATATATAGAAGCCACTTTATATTTTAGAGGAAAAGGTTTCCTCAGATCTAATAAATAGTTTTACTTTGTACTCCTCTGATTCCAGCCGTGAAATGAAATGAAAATTGCCTGAAAGATGCTACAGAACATTGCAGTCACTTCTGAAGATGTGGGAGCTAAATCTTTATAAGGCCTTAAGATTTCAAGACTGCAAACTGTGGAACTGGAAATTTCACCAGCTTTTATTTATTTATTTCTCATAGTTACTCTGCATATCGCCACAGAAGGGTGGTAACAGCACACTTGTATCAAAACAGTAATGTTCAAAAATGATCACATGCAGACAAGTCTTATTCAGTGCATAAAATGGATTCATGAAGTCCTTTTGCTGACCACAGATTTCATTTACTTACAGGACTGTGCTTCTGAATGGCTGGAAAGCAGCTTAGAAATGAAATGTCAAACGTGGAGAAGTTGGTACCATGATTATATCCATACATTTTATGTGCGAAATACTTAGAGGCTGTGTTTTCTTGCTGGCCATTGCATATTCACGGATCAAAGGTAGTTACAAAGATGAGAGTGAAGTGGACTGACACAGTGCTTGCCTGAATTATTTCCACTAGACACTGGCTTTTGCAAAGGATTAAGAGCAGATCCAAAAACAAATTTAGATTCTTATCACAATGCCTAATTTCTATGTGCCTGTCCCTTCAAAGACCCATCAGAATCCCAAGCTTAGTGACCCCTTTTACGTGTTCAGGGGGAGTTAACTTACAAGTTGCTGACTGTGAGCCAAGGACTTTTTAGATGTCTACAGAACAGTCTCCAGAGAATTTCAGGCTCTGGTGATTTTCTGTCTACTGACGGCATGTGCTGTGCACTCTCCACTATGCAAGGAAAACGAAGCGTATCTTGTAATTGGGAAGTCCTCACTGAAGTACCTACTAAACTGGCAGTTTATTTGGTTAGCTTGCTAGACTCTCCAGTATTCAACCAACTTTCAAGGATGATAATCAAGACACAAATAATCACGAGCGGGCAGCCACAGCCTCCTCCAGCTCTTATTTAGCTGTCTCAGATACAGGATTTCTTGGCAGACTCTCTGCTGAGGTTAAGTGCTTTTCAGTGACATGAAAAATTGTGAATAAGGGTCATAATTGCCAATGATCCTTGCTCCATTACAGATGTGGTGAGGTAAAGTTGAGCTTTTTCAAACAGAAATAAGTACTAGCAGTCTGTGGTGGGTTCCCAAGTGCAGGATGAAGCTGGGGACGGATCTTGAAGGAGTTCCCATGCCAGAAGAACAGGCAAGCATCCTACCTTATAGCCAAACATGACTTCTCGCCTTCAGCCCTGCTCTCTAGGTCTCCCTCTGCTGTTATCCCCACTCTGCGTGACAAAGGTAGGACTTCAGGATGCTCATAAATTGACAGGTCAGCCAACACCACAGTTGCCATCTAATCTAAGCCAACTACCTGAAGTTCCTCTGTCTGAGAAAACCAGGCAGGCAGTTCAAGAGTCATCGACTCTGCCTTCCAAAACGGCAGAGTGAACGATTTCTTTGAACTACTCGCCTTTTTTCATCGACTGTGCAAAACACCTCACTCAACAGCTCAGGTGAGATGCCGGTCTCTTGCAAGCCCCCCAAAACGACTGAGGTAAATTCACCACGGGCATTTTCTCTCACCGCTCGGTTACTCCGGGGTCCTGGCGAAAGCAGTGACATACGTTAACTTTTCATGGGAAGGCCCCGCACGGGTGGGCACTGCTTTTCGAGGTGGTGGTCAGTCCTTGTACCCCCCACCGCCGTTGCCTCTGGGAGTGACCGAGCAGCCGTACGGCCTCAGCTCCTCCGTCAGGTCCACCTCACAGGGCCTGCAGCAGCCGTACAGGCCCGTGTCGGCATCCGCCGGCCCACAGCAGCACCTCATCCCACCCCACAGGATGCCAGGCCCACATCGGGAAGACACGGGACTTTGCCACCAACACCCACGTTTTCTGAGAAATTTTTAATTTTTTTTTTTAAATAATAATAAAACAAAAATAAACCCCCAAACCCCACAACATTTTTTTTTTTTTTCGATCAGCTGCAAACATTTATGAAGAGTTCGCGCCGGGGGGGGGCGGGGCAAGGAGAGAGC